AATGTGGATTTTTATATATAAAATACACACATAGACACTATTTAAAAAGTGGCACCATACAATAATACTAGTGGCATACAGATTATACTTGGCATCGAACCAGGAACACTTTCAACATGAATTTTAGTTATCCTTGGGTTTCTGTCTTAAACTATGTTTGTAGGCTATCAAGATTTGACACCATCTGGATAGTTGTTGACTGAATTTCCAAGTTTTCAGTTACAAATCCGGGTTGAGAGAGATGTCCTTATCTATCATGTACAAACTTCTCAATTTGGATTATGAGTTATTGCTTTGGTGAGTGAGTGATGTAATAAACATGCTTGAGTCTCTGAGTATGGGCTTTGAGTGTAGAAATAAAAGTAAGTTTACCAGCTGATCCAGCATCATTGCATATAATCACCCCATCTCTGGCTGCTTGTCACGAACTGTTGGCAATTATTAAAATTAGGTTTACAGTCTGCCTGAGATTAGTGGCAAGTGTGGTAAATGAGGGCTCACTATTAATGAAACTAATTTGTATTTGAAAATATAACTATAGATGCATGCATGCTAGTTGATAGTAAAAAAATAAGCCTTTAACTGAGGTTTTTGTAAACCCTGGCCAAAAAATCATCTTTCAAGCAAGTGATCCTTTTTAAAGTGGTTTTCCAGTATTTTATGAGCATCTTGAGGACCATTTCAGAAACAAATTAGAGATATTTTAAAATACAAATTTAAATGTTTCAACATTCAGAATGACACATGACATTGTGCCCCACTGCTGATCAGTTTTTCCTGGAACTAAGTCTGTGGTGATGGGCTCTGTGTTTCATATAGCTGCGATATTCTATGAATGCCCTGCATCCTGCTCAGGCTTCTAGAACAGCCAGCCCTGCTGCTCCGTGTGTATCTGCTTACTGTCTTTCTCTCCCTTCATTTCTGATCTCTTTGAGAGCAGGGCCTGCCTGCTCTTCCATTTTTCCATTTCCTGATCAAGGGCCTGACTCCAAATAGACCTTAGTAAATGTGTGACGTATGTCTGCATGCCCTGGAACCTAAGCTTCCTCACTCATGGAGCTGACAGCCCCCCCTTGAAGCTGCCCCACCAAAGGCATTCCCCATTCTAGTTCTAATTCAGGAAGAAGGGAGTTTCCAGAAGGTCACCTGGTCATGTGCAATGTCAGTCATGTTCTTCTTGCATAAGGGTCTCAGAAGCTCCTGGGGACCACCTCATTTTCCTCCCAAGGCAGCATCTAGTTCCTAATCACTTTTAGCCAACTTCTGCTTGAGAAATACACTGTATTTTGGCTCTTTACCTGACTTTTCAGCACAGGGACAGGGAAGGACCTTCTCTTTCTCCTTTACCTTTGAAAACCTCTTGGAAGGTTTCTCTTGGTACCTTGATGCTGGAGAGACCCATACACATGATATGGGACATCGTCTGGGAAGACGAAGACAGAAACAAAAGACAGATACCTCCTGTACAGCTATCAGATAATCAAAGGTGATCCTACGGTCAAGTCAGACATAAAATGAGTGACTTGGTGTCAGGGCAGGTAACGGTAGGGATTCGGAGGGGCAGGGCTGGGGTTTGGGTGAGCCAGCCATAAAGTACTGGAAGAATCTCATCCCACACAGGTGACTTATAGCCTGCCTCTCCCGAGGGCAGCGTCTGGCCACCCTGAGTGAGTAAAGGAGGTGTTATTCATTAACAGAACTCTGTACTTAGCATACAGTGCCACTCTTAGCTGTTACCCTAGAGAAGGGAAACGATGTCCTCATAGAAACCTCTCTGTGGATGTTTATGGCCACTTCATTCATAATTGACCCAAACTAAAAACAACACTCTTCAAAGGGTGAATGGCTGAAACAAGGCCCATAAGTGCAGACAACCTCTACTGATGCTCAAGTGAGGAGGCAGCCAGCCGTGGTCATTTTGAATGACCACAAAGTACAAGTTACCTATTATGCAAAGAACCATCCCAAAACTCAGAGGCTTAGAACAGCAGCAGTAGTGCGTTTGGCTCAGGAGTCTGCAGTTTGGGCAGGGCCTGGTGGAAACACGTGTCTCTGCCCCACGTGGCATCAGTGTCTTGACTGCGGCAGGGGCTCACAGGCGACTTTCGGCTGGCAAGTTGGCATCAGCTGCTGGTGCCTCTCCACGTAGGCCTCTCTTCACGGCCGCTTGGGCTTCCTTAGGGCCTAGTGACTGCGTTCAAGAGCAGGCGTCCCGAGAGTCTGGAAGTGAGTGTACCTGGTTTCTTAAAGCCTAGGCCTGGAAACCGGCATTGTGGCATTCTGCCACGGTCTTTTGGTCAGGCAGTCATAGAGCCCAGATTCAGGGGAGGTGACATAGACCCCACCGCTCGATGGCACAAGTGGCAATAGTTTTGGAGCCACATTTTAAAACCATCACATTTACTGTTTATCTCCTGGCCACGCCAGATCCTCTGCCTGCATCTGGCAGAGCTGTTCCCACCACTTTTCCCTCCGCCTCCTGCCTCGTTCTGCCCTCAAAGGCCCATCCCCACCCCCTTCCCCAAGCTTCTGAGGGTTTTAAGGGAGAAACATTTGGGAGAAACACATAGTAAACAGTAAAATTTACAAAATGCTGTAATGATGTAAGGCACTGTTATATCTTATTTTTCCTCTTTTCTGTAAGCTATATTTTTCTGACTTTTTGAGCGTAATAGTGATGGTAATAGATATTTCTGGAGAGATACATGTCTTTACTATTTTGGCAGGGGTGGGGGAGGTCGGTGTAAGAATGCAGGATGGAACTGAAAGGAACACAGGTGTGCCAGTAATGAATAAGGTAGGGCTCTCAACACCAAAGAATAAGGAACAAATTCACACTAAAGTTTTGTTGGCTAAGAGCTACTTTGCATGTCTCCCTTTCCAGAGAGAGCTGTGCTTTAAAAGCAGTTGCTTAAGTAAGGTTGCACACTCCAAAGAAATGAATCTATAAAGTTTGAGACCTCAAGGATTCACTGATACTACAGTTTTGCTGCTGGCTGGTATTGTCTATCTTTACTGTGTCTAATCATATAGAAGATTTGCCCAGAGTCTCATCAAATCCTGTGAGACAGGCACAGTGCCCTTTGGGGTAAATGTAGTTAGAGACCTCAGGTTTGGGATAGTCTGATTGAAACTCAAAGTTGTGAATTGGGGCAATTTTTCTAATGCTTCTTGGCACACCATTCCTACCTGCATCACTTTTTTTGTGAATCTTTCTTCTCATCCTGATAATTCCCTCCTCTTTTTCTGCTGTCAGGGCACCTGTCCTTTACAGAAGAAATTAAATCATACTAAAGTATTAGTGGCTACCAGGAGCTTACTTTGTTGCCCTTCCCATGGAGATATTTGTGGTTTCAAAGGAGATTGTGGTTTCTAAGGTAGAGAGTTTCTGGCTTCAAAGGAATGAAATTATCTTGTAGTATAACAAGAATGGGAAGACTTTTGAGGAAGAGGTTTCTTTTTGAGGTCTCCAAACACTCAGCCTTTCATAGGGAGTTAGGCATGTGAGTGACATGGTGAGGCTCTGGTTGTTTCCAGTCCTGTTCTGGTGCCAAGGTGCTCATTTGGCCAGGTTGCCTGTTCTGTACACGGGAGCTTCCCCATCCACTTCTCTCCCACTCTGCGCCAGTGGATGCCACACAACTTGCTTTTTAGCAGTTAAATATTCAACCTCTGTACATATCCGCTATTCTGTCTGCAGAACTACAGAGTATTTTACAAGTAATCAGTTCATGCCAATTGCACATAAATCATGTCTGCTCTGGCCTTTTGGACACTAATGTTCCCTTATTAAGGCATAAAGTAAGCCTTCCTGTTCTCATCCATCCTTCCAGATTTTTTTAATTACAGAAAAGTACAGCCTAGATCTCGTACAACACCCTCTTCCACTCCCCTCACCCCCTGCCACACTCATTGCTGTTTTGAGGTTCATTTTGTTTTTCTGGAGCTCGCCTTAGGAAGCTGGATGCCTTGTGAATGGATTAAGCAAAAGGAAATTCTTATCTCTAAAAGGAAGCAGTCACCACGTTTGTGTTTGTGATATTCTTGGCCAGTTAATATTTTTGTGAAATACGGTCTGATGGCAGGACCAGTACTCGGGGAGGGGGTGGGTATTGGTCAGTCCCGGGGCACAAAAGGAAAATTTTTTCAGCCAAAGGTCTGGGTGGCAGATAACAAGTCATTTCATGAATCTTCACTGTTTTTAATCCCCCAAGAGACTGGAAGCTTAGCCCACCCTATATGCATATTATTTTAACATTTTTTCATTTTCTTTTCAAATTGTAGCCACAGATCTTCACTCTAATATACATGGATTTCTGCTTCCAATTTGTCTGGCCCTGCTATTAGTATTCAGCCAGTTTTCATTTTGGTCTAAAATGACTCTGAAAGAGCATGGAAGCATACTATTATTTCTTGTGGTCTGGTCTAAAAAAGAATAAAAGGGGGACTTTTAGACAAGGCCCATAAGAATACCAGCATCTACTTTTAGAGATGTTTTATGAATATAAATTCCTGTCTAAATAATTACCGTGGAGCTTAGAAAGGACTTCGGAAATTGTAACAACTTATTATTCTCTCTTAGCAACCACAGTGAGCGAAGGTGACACGGCTGTCTTTTTTTTTTTGTTAGATGGGCTGACATCATAATGCACCATATTGCTTTTTAGATCACATTTTTTAATCATCTGTATAGATTACCATGGAACTGAGGTACTCTGCGATATTATTTTCCTCAGATAGGGGAAAAAGAGCTCTGCTTCTGGTGTCATTTCTGAATCACGGGATGGCTGGTAATGGTTTCTTAACAGAAGAAGGCAGCCTGGGTGCTGAGCACAGTTCCACCGGTGTTCAGGTTGTGTGTTAAATCACACTCTGGTATAGGGGCTGAGGTCCTTTAGGGGTTCTTCAGGGAGACTGGGGGTCTTTCAGACTACGCTGTTTAAAAAGAACATCTCAGGAAAAAAAAAATCACCCCCTCCATTTTCTTCTTCTGCTCGCAGCTGCCAAAATGGGTTGCGGATTGAACAAGTTGGAGAAACATGAGGACAAACGGCCTGGAAATATCTATTCAACTTTGAAGAGGCCTCAGGTGGAAACCAAGATAGATGTGTCCTATGAATACCGCTTCCTGGAGTTCACGACCCTGGGCGCCAGTGAGTACAGGCTCCCGGGGTGCCTGCCCAGGGTGGGGGCTGTGGGGGACAGGAAGGATAGACCTGCCAGAAAGGGGCTGCTTACAGAAAACCACAGTTTTATGTGAAACCTTTCACTTTTTAAAAGATAGGAACTAATTTAAATGATAACAGATTAAAACCATGTGTGAGCCACATAGTGCACTTGGCCATGCTGCATTCTGGCCTGCAGGCCCACTAGTTTGCACTCTGTTTCACAGCAAGCCACGTGGGAAAGGGAAATTTGCCTTAGTCCTCACACTGACCTGCCCAGCCAACCAGATGCCCCCACCGGTTGTCTATATCTTTCCGGGGTGCTCCTTTGTCTGGACTTGGCTTTGCCTCCCCCAGCTGCAGGGAGTCTGGGTCACCTAGCACCGCCAGCGTCCCCGTGGCCCTGGAGCAACAGCCAGTGATGGTCAGTGCCCTCATCCCGGAGCATCTGCTGAGCAATCGGTGCCCTGCTGGGTGGCGCTGGGCAAGTCGTGTAGCCTGCTCTGGGTTCCTGGTGCTTCTTGCTAGTGGAAAGAAGACTCATATACTCAAAAAATCTTTAGCAGGCCCTAACTGTAAGCTGGAAAACATGTAAAATATGTTTTTAGGAGAGGGAGAAAGAATTCCTCCTTTTGAGGGGTCCCTGGAAGTTGTGAGCAAAACCCAAGTGTTGACTCACTATGGCCTCTGGACACTTACTCCCTGGGCTTCTGGGTAGTTTGCAGTTTCTGCTGTGAGCCAAGAGAATTAGTGGGGAAGCCCTGCTGTCTGTGGGTCTGAGTCGTGGCTCTGCTGCCGAGCAGCCGGGAAGTCCCTGGGCCTGCAGCGTCCTCATCTGTCAGACCAGCACGAGTGCCCATCTCAGGGCAGCTGTGAGGCCTGGAAGGGGCAGGAAGTGGGAAGCTGTCCGCACAACGGCGGGCACACAGTAGGGCTGCTAGTGTTACTGCCGCTCTGGCTCCCCCTCTACCGTCCCTGTGGCCACCACCTCTGTGCTGATGTCCACCTGCTTCTCGAGCCCTGAGGGAGATGGGCAGCTCGACTTTCTGTGCACCTGTCCAGGTCCCCACACCTGAACCAGCATCTTCCTCATACAGCTGCTTCCTGCTGGTGCCCGTGTTGAATAATGTCCCCACCATCCTCTCCAACAGCCAGACCTGTCCCCTTAGTCATCTGTGACCAGATCTTCTCTGTGCCCACAATTTCCATTCTGTCACCCAAGCCTATTAAAACTACCTCTGAACATGCTTTATAATCTGCTAATACAAAGTGAACTACTCTGAACACAAAATTATTGGGAGCGTTTGGTTGTCCATTACTTGTTCAGTGAATATTTGAATGCCTGCCACGTTCTAGGCATTGTAGAATGATCAAGGAAGGAAGCAAAGCAAGTATAGGAAAAAGAAGAAAATACACCAAGATGTGAAATACTGATTGGCATGGTGCTGAGCTTTCGGGGAATTCTTTCTCCCTTTTGTTATTTTTTGCACTGTGGTTATATTACTTCCATTATCAGGAAGAGTAACCTGCACAGATGTGCACCCCTCTTCCCTCTGCCCCGAGTGTCATCTGAGTGTCTGCTCTCCATGTCTGCTCGCCTGCTGCGGGGGGCACCAGCCACCATGTCCACACTGCACTTGGTTTCCTTGAATTACCTTTTGCTTTTGGATTATAAAATGAACATACATGCATTATAAAAAGCTAGGAGAATACTAGGAAAATCCCAGCTGGCGTCCCGCTTCCTCCCTTGTACCCCTGCAGATCATGCCCCTTCCATCCAGAGCCCTCCCCCGAGGCACACCAGCTTCTCTTGGCCTCATTCTCCTGCTGTCCCCCTTGAGGTCTGCCACGTGATCCTGCTGTTTCTCAAACCCTTCAAGCCTCCTCAGGCCTTTGCACTGTCTGTTCCCTCACCCTGTAAGTTCTCCCAGATATGTCCTTGTCTCAAACGTTTCAGTCTTAACCCCCTTCTCTGTAAAACCTTCTCTGACCCCTTGTTTAAAATTTCTACCTGCACCCTGAATTTCCGTGCCTTTGCCCTCTTGATTTTATCCACAACCCTTCCAACCATCGAACATGCTACATGGTTAGTTGGCTTGTTGTTATGTTTCCTTGTTTGTTGTCTGCCTTCCTTCATTAGAAGATAGAGCCCCTTCCAAGTGAAGGATCACATCCAGTCATCCTCTGCTGTACCCTTAGGGCCTAGAACAGTGCCTCGCACATAGTAGAGAATCAGTAAATATTTGTTGAATGATTACTCAATGTATATTTTTTCATCCTGCTTTTTTTGCAGCTTAACACTGTATAGGGAGGCATGCATCCTGTTATCCCATATGTTCCAAAAATATGATTTAATGGCTATATAGGATTTAATCACTCAGCATACCATAATTTATTTAGCAGTCCCCTTTTATTGGACATGTAAGTTATTTTGGGCTTTGGGCTATTATAAATAATGTTGTGATAAGCAATGCTGAACATAAATCTTTGTTGAGTTTCTGATTATTTCCTCAGTAATTACTGAGTTGAAAGATATGAATGTCAGGACTTGATAAATTGCCAAATTGCCTTCTAGATAGGCCCTGTTTGTATAAAACACAAATCTGATCATGTAAAACCCTTGGCTGGTGCCCTGGATTAATGCAGTGTGAGTTCCAGCTGGCATTCAGGGCTTTCCTCAGCCTGTCCTTGTCCTTTGTGGGCCCCGCCCTGCCTGTCCCCTGGAGGACTGTGTGCCTCAGCCCTTGGCCTTGCCTGTCGCCCAGCACCCTCCCTCCCCAGCTTCCCCGCTCAGCACAGGCCACCCCTTCAGTGCAGGCCTGCCCCCCACCCCACACTGCCTGCCAGAGTCCTGCCCACCTGAAATTGTTCCATCTTGACATCCTTCCCATCAGAGTTACTCCTTCCTCCACGCCTGTTTGTCAATGCTATCCTTTTATTTCATCATGTAATAATAAATCCTTTTATTTCATCATTTATTAAACTTATTTGTGTTTCCTGGAGGGCAAAGACCAAGCCTTGCTCCCCTTTCTGTTCAGCTCTCATTCACACTTTCTGGCTGAGAATAGTGTGTCCTAAATAGTTGAGGTCTAGCATAAAATGTTACCTATGCTGACTTGTTGCCCTGGCGGCCTCTCAGGTTCTTTTCCAGAAGTTCTAATGGTATCATGCGTTTTTTGCTCCAGAGAGGAGCCAACATTAATCAAGACCCTACTATGTACCAAGTGCTGTGATGGAGTATCATATTTCTGATCTCATATTTGCCCTTTTTCAACTTTGCTGAAGTCTCATTTAAGCCTATGAAACTGCACGTATTTAACATACAAACTGAAGAAACCATGACCCCATCAAGATGCAGAACATTTCCATCACCCCAGAAGGTTCTTCCTGCTTCTTTGTAATCCCTCCTTTTCCGAGCCTATGTCCTCAGACAACAGTGTACTGCTTTCTGTCACTTTTTCTGACACTGATTTTATCTTCTAAAATTTTCTATAACGAGTCATATGATACATACTCTTTACAGTCTGACTTTTTCCACCCAGCTTACTTATTTTGAGGTTCATTTATGCTGTTGGTGTGTCAGTAGTTCATTCTTATTTTATTGCTGAGTGGTGTTCTGGTGTATAGATGTCCCACAGTTTGTTTTTCCATTCACCTGCTGATGGATATTTGGGTCATTTCCATTTGGGGCTATTAAAGCTCAGCTGCTGTGCACCTTCATCTTTGTGTGGCTTCTTATGTCACTTTATCCTCAGTTTAACCCAGAAAGGTGTATGGTTACACATATCCCCTTTTTGCAGACGAGGTAGCAGATATTCAAAAAGGTTAAGTAACTTTTCTAAAGATGCGGTGCTACGAAGACAATGGGGCAGAGTTTGAGCCTAGATCTTTTAGGAATCAAAGCTCTGGTACCTCATAAACTGCAGGGTATTAGGCAAATAGGCATTGACACCAACTAGAATGTGCATATCAAAAAATGCACGTTATCGTGTAGAGGGCTTAAGAAAATTCCTCTTCTGTATGGCATTGGCCATAGCAGATTTCTAAGTGGCAGGTGATACACATATTTTTCATAGAGGAGACATTTATCTGACTCTGACAAATTGCAGGTTAGGAGAGGAGTGTAGGCCCACTTCCACCTGATAGCTGAGGCAGAAAGTGACATGTGCATTTTTTAAAAATTCAAGATCAGAGAGAACACCGTTGTTTGCCCCTTGCTTCAAGCTCAGCGCTTTTGTGGATGATACTGGAACATGCAGCCTCGCTTACAGGTGTGGCAGAGGTGAAAAGCAGCAGGACTCTGACAGTGAAGCACATAAAATGCCAAAAACTTCAGTTCTGGGTGATTTGATTGGGTCTTCAATTTTCAATTAACTCTGGTCACTGAGGGATGAACCTGCCCTTTGATGGGTATCATCGCAGATGGAGGCCCATAAAGCATTGCAATTTCTGCAAAATGGTGCCTTGTTATCCTTTTATGTGTGTGTTTGCCAGCTTCTCTGTGCCAGGCTCCTCTAACGCTGCCGGAAAGCTCCCTGTGAGAACTGAGTGTTCCATACCTGTCTGGTGCTGGGGACAGTTGGCACTGTGCGCTGCCTGCAGAACGAGGCCAGTGCCCGGGGCTTGATCGTTGCTTGAACTGTTTAGCCCTTCATTGTCCAGTTCAGGAGCCCCTGGCCACACGGCTATTTAAATGTAATAGTCAACTAAAATTCAATAAAACAAAAAATCCAGCTCCTCTGTCCCACTAGCTGCACTTTAAGTGCTGACAGCCACCTGTGCAAGGGGTCCCACCATGGGCGGCACAGACAGAGCAGGTTCATCATTGCGGATCTGCTGCTGGTGGGCCCCAGAGCTTCCTCCAGGGGAGGGTAACTTGGCGTCGGACGGGAATCTCTGTATCTTTCAGATTGATGTAGCACGTTTATTATGAGAATTTGCCCTGGAGTTCACTAGGGACCCTGGGACGACAATAAATTATTCCACAA